CACTGCATCCTGTCTGGGTGCGAGTTATTCAAACTGCTGATCATCCATCCGCGGTCAAACGGTTCAGTGTTTCAAACCACCACCAGGGAGATCATGGGTTCGGGGCTCTCTGGAATTTCGTGAGTGATTCTCCGTAAGATTGAGACAGCGGTACAGTGTTTCTTGGCTTTTCAGCCTAGATTGGCTTCACCTACATGACGAAATCTCCAATAACATTCAGTATGTCTTTGGGGAGTGGAACTTAAACCACCTTTTGTCTGTCACGCTTTCGGTAGGCGGAAATATCACCAGTGCATTTATCAGACATCAGAAACCACTCACGCTTGGTTGCTCCACGCCACCTTTACTCCATATCGCAGCGGCTGTTTCGTATACTCTTTGCCATATTGTATAACTGTTTTCGGGACATGATGAAAGCCACGCATCGATCGCGGTGGACCACTAAAACACTCGTCCCACCCTACCTGATTATTTTGAAAAAAGTTTCTGGAAACCTTTCGACAGTGCAAGGTCGGTTTCGCTCTTCTTTGGATGGTGATGGATGCGAAATTAAGGTTTCCTAAGAGCTGAATACCCGTAGACTGAGTGTGATACGGTGCGCACCTTTGCAGAATCCGAAATGCTCTTTCGCTTATCAGAACATCCAGAGAGCGCGTTGATTAGACACCCTTTTGTCACTTTTCAGTTGGTTTGTGCGTGCGTGCGGTTGATCGATCGGAAGCGGGATTCTACCCTTCCTGCTACTCTGACCCGATCGGAGCTCTGAAGAAACAATGTTGACGACTGATGGTACATGAAGTCATGGTAAAGTTTATCCCTTTATCGTCGCTTGGCAGTGTTTGCCCTTCCGGTGCCTAGCTGCCATGCCACCCGAAGGAAACACGAGGGCTGGGATACTGCCAGGTTGCCCAAGCCTAGACAGGGGAAGTCGAGTGGCGGAGGTCGGGTTCGAATCCGCGCTCTAACCACTTCGGCCATCTCGGTGTGTCATGGGCTAACGGAGCCCTAGAGGTGGTGCTACCCACCTCTGGTGGTGGATTCTCGCCCGGCATCCGGCTTATAAAATGTCACCTTGGCCCGATGATGACACCAGGACACGGTGAGCATTACCCTGCCCTAAATGGAACACCACGAGGAGAACATTGACTCACGGTCAGTACCGGTGCTTCTGAGTTGGTATATGAACCATTTTACGGTCGCCGTCAATCACGAAATCGTTTGGCCCTGCGGGTTGCACTTGGAAGTATAGGGGTTAGAGAAACGAACTCGAGCAAACCTCAGGACTGACGGGATGGGGTGATGAGGCTGGTCTTTCCGACAGTTCTACTCCCCTCACATCCCTGCTACCTTGCATTTCGCACTTGGTTATGCGAAGGCCAGATATGTATTCCAGAATAAAAGCCATATGTCACTCGTAAACGAATTCCCGTGTTACTCCACTTGTTCATCCCAGATACGAGGCCCCGTCCATGTTGTGTTATCCCCGGTAAGCGATGCTCCCGGTGCTAACTCAGCCTTCGCGGCGATAAATGTGGGATCTGATCCCCCTAATCTATTTTAAGAACCAGGAATGCACTGTGTATAGAGTGATAGAATAGCTGCAATCTGCTGGACGTGGGAAGCCAGAGTGTCACGCCATAGGAAGCATCTTTGACTACCAAGATGAAACTGCACGGCTTTCAGAGACATGAATTCGTGACTCCTATTCACATTGCACCAATGTACCATGAATGGAAGTCTCCTACACGCCATACAGTATTGAAACACGTGATAAATCGGCCCAGCACGGTGTGAGTTTTACGCTTACCAACTGCGCAAAGATTGCCTTGCCCTCTTGGGAGCCAGTATTGTCCAAGATTGCGACGGCTGTCTTCAAAGACCTTCGTAACCGCCTGTGCTCCAACTTCGTCGGACCTATTCGTCAAGGATAATTTCTACAATTATTAAAGATGGCATCCAGGAGGAATTTTTCAAAGCTTGCTCGCCAGAAGGCCTTGAACCACTTTACAAGCTCTTCTGCTCAACCTGGGAGGCCAAAGTGTTCCCGGTGGATTTGCGTACATTTATACTACTACCCATACTGAAATGGATGACAGGAGTATCAACCCGATAGACCTCACCTGAGAATTCTTTACCTTAGTACAAATCGAGATAGCCTCACACCAGCCTGAATCAGGGAGACCTCCGTGCAAGAAGAGGTTGTGTTTACGCTCCACTGTGTCTTGGAACACTGCTACAAGTTCCACCAAGTAGCCACCACTTGCGTTATCGACTTCCGTGTAGCATTTGACTCAGTCAAGAGGGAGTGGTTCTGATCTGTTTTGGAGCCTAAAACAATCATTCCAGGGTACTCACCTCTCTAGACAATCATCCAGGTAATCTGGATAGAAACTAACATCAAAAACGTAATTGAAATAGACTAGCAGCCATATCATCGTCTTCAAGTAGTCACGGTCGAAAGCACGTGATCCCCAGCCAGTTGCAGCACCGACAACACACGAACTTTTCATAGTCTCTTTCATACCATTTTGTAGATCAAAGGTTGGCCATCTATCGGCTTCCGCCCCTCTGAATTGAGCACGGAGAACAACACTCTTTTCGGAAGACGATGGTTCGGCATGCGCGGTACACGGCCTAACCGACACAGCTTCTGGTGCGGACCAATTCCTTTAATGGAAGTACCCGTTACACAACCCGAGACTCGCTTTCCAATTGCCTCTTTACGGATTCACCGACACCACCCCACATGAGCTACGGTTCTGAGACAACGATTGTCGAACACCTGAAGATGTCTCAGTTCCGCTGCTCAAATAGGCCAAGTCTCACAGCCATACAACAAAACAGTCCGTACTGTAGCCTGATACTCACGTCCCATGAGATTCAGGGATATACCGCTTTGACGCCATGAGTGTCTCAAATTAGAAAACGCGACCTAGGCCTTGGAGATTCGTGCATTGACTTCATCCGTCACACTAAGATCAGAGCTAATACAACTTTCAAGATACTTAGGACGCTTCAAAACTTCCAGTACCTCTCCCTGGATGTAAGGGGCGTGTTCAGTGACTGTATGTCTACGAGCATGACCTTACACTTTGTGGGTGCAAAGTGCATACTCTGGTCAGTTCATCCAAAAACATCTGCACCTTAGTCCCTCTTCGAAGACGAAGACAATGCTGTGTCTATTGCCGAGTGAGGTTCTCGTCAGCAGCTGTTTGAACACCAGGGTTTTGAAGACCTTTCAACATTCGTCTCATGATCTCGTCAATCGCGAAATTGAATAAGAATGGAAATCCTTATTGGAAATCCTTGTCGGATGCCACTTTGCGTACCGATGCTTTCTGAGATTTCTCAAAGTACTTTGGGAACGATGGGACATTCTGTGCCTGTGTTAGGGGCCGTTACCATAACATACTAGGTCCTGTGGCGCAGACTATAGTGGCTGGAACACATCCTCCGCAACTCAAACTCCGAGCCGTGCACTGTCCTCCCCGTCGGTGCTGCCCTGCTCAGAATGGTGTACTGAAAATTTGGTTGTCACCAACTAAGGCTTACTTTGCACTACTTGGTCTGCAAACAGTGGAGTTGAAACTGGATGACACTGTGTTCGGATCTTGTTGTTAGTCGTACGACTTGTGTAGATGAGACAATCAGTATAGCTTACCCAAACTGAAGAGACATGTGGTGGCTTAGCAGCTACATACAGGGGTTGATGCGTCGCCCGGCTTGGTAGATCACTAACTAAGAGTAGACACTTTGAATCGTTTGAGCGTGAATTGTCGCACGGCTCCTTGTTTCCACTGCCTTCACTACGATTGTATGGTTGGCAACTTATCATTCATCCTCACCGTTTGCCTCAGAGGTCCGATGAACTCATAGCGACTGTGTACAATCTTGCTTTCGAACAATTCGACGTCGAATGCAGTTATCCACGCATTCGAGCAAAGAGAAAAATGCGTCCATTTAACGCGGCCATCGGCTAATCTGATGACTGGGAGATTGGCTCGGAATCTGTGCAGGCACACACCATTTCAGGCCCAATCGAGAAGTTGTCAGCCCATAGAATACCTTAGTTCTACATCGAATTCTTGTTGAGACACCTTTAAAATCGCTTAGGTACACAGTGAAAAATGTTAGAATGGATTAATTTGACATATGAGACTCCAGAATGTAAACAATGCATTTGTTTAGACATCTGCGCACGAAGTGCTGTGTCTATTGCCGAGTGAGGTTCTCGTCAGCAGCTGTTTGAACACCAGGGTTTTGAAGACCTTTCAACATTCGTCTCATGATCTCGTCAATCGCGAAATTGAATAAGAATGGAGAGATTGGAAATCCTTGTCGGATGCCACTTTGCGTACCGATGCTTTCTGAGATTTCTCAAAGTACTTTGGGAACGATGGGACATTCTGTGCCTGTGTTAGGGGCCGTTACCATAACATACTAGGTCCTGTGGCGCAGACTATAGTGGCTGGAACACATCCTCCGCAACTCAAACTCCGAGCCGTGCACTGTCCTCCCCGTCGGTGCTGCCCTGCTCAGAATGGTGCACTGAAAATTTGGTTGTCACCAACTAAGGCTTACTTTGCACTACTTGGTCTGCAAACAGTGGAGTTGAAACTGGATGACACTGTGTTCGGATCTTGTTGTTAGTCGTACGACTTGTGTAGATGAGACAATCAGTATAGCTTACCCAAACTGAAGAGACATGTGGTGGCTTAGCAGCTACATACAGGGGTTGATGCGTCGTCCGGCTTGGTAGATCACTAACTAAGAGTAGACACTTTGAATCGTTTGAGCGTGAATTGTCGCACGGCTCCTTGTTTCCACTGCCTTCACTACGATTGTATGGTTGGCAACTTATCATTCATCCTCACCGTTTGCCTCAGAGGTCCGATCAACTCATAGCGACTGTGTACAATCTTGCTTTCGAACAATTCGACGTCGAATGGAGTCATCAACGCATTCGAGCAAAGATAAAAATGCGTCCATTTAACGCGGTCATCGGCTAATCTGATGACTGGGAGATTGGCTCGGAATCTGTGCAGGCACACACCATTTCAGGCCCAATCGAGAAGTTGTCAGCCCATAGAATACCTTAGTTCTACATCGAATTCTTGTTGAGACACCTTTAAAATCGCTCAGGTACACAGTGAAAAATGTTAGAATGGATTAATTTGACATATGAGACTCCAGAATGTAAACAATGCGTTTGTTTAGACATCTGCGAACGAAGTGTGGCTCTCTTAGTGAAATTGAGGAAGCGAGCACATTTGTGCTCAAATGGTTTCAACCCATCAGTCGGCTTTCGTAAGTATGACTTTTGTGTATCTCTGACCCCCCCGTGTGTTACCTGAGTCCTCCGCTAAGAACAGTTAGTTCTTTGTGCACCGATACACACCTTAGAATCGTTGTCACGTGTGGACTGTTTACACTCTGTACCTCGTCGTCCATTGTCCCAAAATATGTGTGATCATTGCTCCGTTTCCGGAGGGAAACCCCACGTGGAATACGGAGCTGTCTTGTAGATGGAGGGATCCTCCTTGAGAAGGACAACCGACAGGAACAATTCCCCATTTAAACTGGCCAGTCATACTTCACTTAATCATGACTGCCTGCATTTTTTAAGCATGCCAATGATTTTAAGCTATATTCAAGACTTGTGTGCATCCGTAACAGAGGCACGCTCCCTCGAGGGAGTGTCAATGTGGCCTACTGAGTCCTTTAATGGAGCTTGCGATTTCCTGCTTAGGTAGTTGGTGATCGATACATTTACAAAAACCGACTAATTTTGTCAGAAATTAAGTTGATAAAGGAGGCCATCTCGTGTGGTGTGATGGTTGCTTGTTTTTCCGTTAGAGGGGTCGGCACACGAGGCCCTGAGTTGCGCTGTGGTGATCTTCGAGGAAAGTCATCTCCTGTCAGAGGGGCTCCTTTGAGAACATGATTGAACTAGTGCTTCCCAGGTGTTCATAAAGGCAGTCACATTACTAACGGTACATAGTTGACAAGGTCATCCGCTGGCGGTAGGTGTAGTACAGCCGAAAGCACAAACACAGACTACTCAAACGGGGACAAGTAGGCTTAGAGATATGGTAAGAGAGTGCAATCCACTAGCGCGACGAAAGTGACCAACATACGCAAATGTGTGTTCAGTTGCCGTTTTGTGGTCAGTAGATTTGCACCGTTTGTGACAGACCATTTTTTACTCAGTGCCATGGGGTTGGGAGGTTTTTATTTTTCAGTTGTCGCATTGAAAATGTTTTTTCTTTGAGAGTCACGTTTGCTCGAAAGTTTCTTATCGACAGTTAACACTAATACATTAGAGTTTATCAAACTCCTCGGGGATATCACTACCCATTTCATTCTGTTAAACCTGATGGAAGTGGTTCTTCCAGAGAGGTGAGAACCATAAATCCATCTGTCGAAATCAGCTATTCTTTTTGGCAATTTTGTGACTAATCTAGTCGGACCAGCAGAAGAAAATGGACGATGAACTCACTTCCAGAGCTATTGCGACCGGGATAGTTGCACCGTCTCTGGTCAGATCCGGGGGCTTGTGCCACACTCTTGCAATCGCCTGGTACGCTGCCTGGTAATTGGCACACGTATGGTCCCCTAGAAACGGTCTGCCATCACGAAACACTTTTATTTCCAACTTGTTTGGTGAACTGCGCTGTCTGTGAATGGACTCCAAGTAGTCAGTGACCTTCTGGGCAATTTTCTTTGGGTTTTGATCGGGTACGATGCGGACGGAAAATTTGCCCAACACCTGGGTGAAAAGATGTAAATCGGAGTGAATAAGAGTTCGAGAGTTTTAAAGTTGGTCGACCCCGTAACATACAACTAACGAATTTGTGCAATTTTCGTGGTTTACTGTGGGAGGTAGTTGTAGCTTTTGAAAAATTTATTAGCAGTTTAAGCAAACAAGATGTCATTATCATAATCAACAGCATAACATCAGTGTTCAACACCAATGCTTTACTGCCGTACAGCCATGACTTATTTGAA